AAACAGTTAAATTCCGTGAGGACTGCGGCGTCCTCTAGGTAAAGATAGTTAATTCTATCTTGACATAGTTAAGGTCCGCAAAGGGCGGCGGAGCCCTCTGTTTTAAAACCAAATTAATGGGGCAAGGGCGGTCCCGTGTAAGTGGGCACTGATAAATCGTTCCTGTTCAAATTAAGTGCGTCTATCAGGTGCGTTTGTGATAAGTCCTAGGCAAAAATACGTAAAAAGCGCTGTGATCATAAAAGATCTCTCTCTCTCTCTCTCTCTCTCTCTGTGTGTGTGCATGTGTGTGCGTGTGGAAAGCTGAATACCACTAGGTCTCAGCTTTCATACCAAAGCAGTGAGAAGTAAGCAGTGAGTTCTTTRTGGAAGCTTAGGCAAGAACACCTGGCCTATCACGACACGGCTGAACAGGTGTTACCACAAGGGATAACTTAATCACTGTCTCACTGGGGGAAAAACAAACCAGTTTTTAGAAGCCCTAGGCGAGAAACTGGTTCTAAATTATTTAAAAATGGGAAAAACTAATAGCAAAACGCAGCCTAAAGATGACCTTTGTGCAAAGACTGAGTTAAAAGATAACATTAATATCGCAACGAAACAAAACAGCAAGCTCATGACCAACCTTGGTTTTGATAACATAGATTTCTGGATGCAAATATCCTTGAAGAGGGAAAAAGGCACATCAAGCCAGACGTGCCAAGGCTGTGTTGTTTTCTAGGGAAGAGGATGACGGTGAAACTTTTGAGCAGTACAGAGATGACTAAGGTGTTTCTGGCTGAAAGTGGACTGACTGAATCTACTGACGAGACTGGACCTTTCAGACAGCAGCTTAAAAATGCATTGCATGCTGGTTCACGTGATGCAATTAAAGCTTGGATTACTAAATTTTATGTTCACAGATGTGACAACAGATGTTATAACTTCTCTTTTTAACGTTTTCATAAAATTTCTTATAGTTTTGACATTTTTTATATATGTCAAGAGAGGGATTGAAGAAATTTTGTAACTGATTAATTGAATATTGGATTCAGTTTGTATTTTATACTTTCTGATCATTTCAGTCTGTAAGGTTGAAGCTGACAAAGAGTTGGTGTGTTATCATGTGTTCTTTCTTTTAACCTAAACAAAACTGAGTGACGTTCTGACGTCTGACGTAAAAGGTAACACCTCTGGGGTGTAACCAGGAAGGGATGCACCACCCTGAATCCTGCCACCTTACTCCCTGTCCCAGGTGATTGAGATCAGCATGATTGTCAGCAATTGGCTGAACAGCAGTCAAAAAGCAGAGATGACTTGACAGATGTGCCACAGATTTTTCTGTTTAAAATGGTCCAGCCGGTGTTTTTATTTCAAAATGGTGATTTAAGATCATTTCCTCTCTCAGACGTGAGAGAGGGTTGGGGTTTTTTGTCTTCTTTTTCTTTTTTTTTTCTTTCTTTTCTCCTTCTTCTTTGTTTCACCTTTTGAAATGAGATGCAGAGCATTTGTCTCATTCTGACTTGGAG